CGGGTTGTGCGCGGCGGCGGCGGCGGCAGGAACTGATGTCAGGCGGGGCGGTGCTAAGGTCGGCAGCCGCGGCTGGGACGCCCGCAACGCGCCCCCGCCCGAGGGAACCTGGGGGCCTGGACGCCCCCGTAATCCCTGACCTCCGCCCTGCCGGCCGGGACCCTAGAAACTCCCTCCGGCCATCTGGTCCTCCTTAGACCAAACTCCCGGTTCCCCTGTCCTCCCTTAATCCCAGAGAACCTTTCGGCTTTCAAAGACCTGGTTGGGAACCCCTTGACCCATAGACCCTGAACTCTCGCCTTACTCAAGCCAAACAGCTGGAAGACTCCCTCAATTCACAGACTGCAGTCCTGATGCACAGATCCCAGACTATACCAGTTTGGAAATTCCCTTGGATTTCCAGTTCCCTATTTCTCGTCAGTCCTGAGATAGGTCCTAGAGGCCCCCACTGATGTAGAGACCCTGAAATCGGCCTTTTCCTTCTCCAAGGTCCACGTCTTGGCCTTCAACAACACAGACCTCCCAGCACCCACACCTAACTCCACCTACAGACCCCAGTCGTTATCTCTCCCTGGTCCCCCTGGCCTCATCATCCCCTAGACTCCTCAATTCTCACTCTCACCATCTCACCCTAGTTTAGATCATTGTAGGGACAGAGTGCAAACACTCCAAAATGATCACCCTAATGTCAACTCAAACCATGTCTCCTATCCTGCTATCTCACGCATTAGTTATACATCTGCTATGAAAGAGCAGACAGCCCCTTCCTCCTGTTGTGCATGGAAACCACAACTCTTTGTTCTTTGGATAGGTAGCCCGCACCTTGGAGCTTTCCCTACTTCTTCTTGTTTCGCATACCGACCTTAACTGCCCTGATACTGACTCATGTGAAGTTTGTATATCCCGTTATATAAAAAGCCCCTAGTTCATGCTGCACGCAGGCAGGGTGGAGGGGTGGAGGGGACAGGACTTTATTGTCAAACCAGAGACCCATAAAGACTACTGTCCAAGTTCCTTGTCAGTAAGTTCCCTGTCAGCAAACCATCTTTGTATTTTCTATAATAAGCTAATGTCTCTCAGGACTGATTCCTGGTTGTTTTCTCAGTCTTGGCAACTATATATACAGAAGGCTTTTCCCTTTTGGGCCTAAATCCCAACAGCCACCTCAGTGCCTCCATCCACCTCCAAAACATAACTTCTTCACTTTGGCTTCAGTCCCAGCACCTCATCCTACCATCCTTAATTTTAATCCCACATCTTCAGCTCCATATATCCTGGGGTCCTCAACTCCCTGGAAACCCACTAAATAACTCTCTTTTCCTCCACACACACCTCTTCCCAAATTCACCATGTCTTAAGTTTCCTCCATTTGGAGTTCTCTACCCTGCCTTATTTGTTGTTGCTGTTGTTAAGTACTGTGGAGTCGGTTTTGACTCATAGTCAAAGTTTTCCAGGCTGTAAATCTTTATGGGAGCAGAAAGCCTCATCTTTCTCCTGCAGAACTGCTGGTAGTTTTGTACTGCTGACCTTGCGATTGGCAGCCCAACTCGTAACCACTATGCTACCAGAGCTCCTTATTTAGGGACCAAATAAATTTTTTGGTCCCGAAATTGATATGTTCCTGACATACCTTCTTGTCCTCCCACTTTATTTAGAAACCCCAACTCTCAACTGTAACTCCCCAAGTCCTCCCTGTCCTCTGCTCAGGGTACCTCATCCTTGAATTTCCCAGACCCGGTCACCATATCTAAAACCCTGATTCTACAGATCATTAAAGATGGCTCCCATCCAGATACACCCCAAAGATTCCTTCTCATCCCTCGGTCTCTGGAGGAGAGATCCAAAATGGGGCTAGTTATTTTTGTTTTGTTTTTGTGTGACTGGATAAGGGGGCAAAGGAATCTCAGGAAAAGGAAGGAAAACAATTACTTGAAAAGTTAGTATTAATGTTTTCTATTACCACCTACAGCAAGAAATCTTAATGCTAATAACTGTTGAATATTAACTATGTGCCCCACACTGAACTAAATGTTTCACATACATCTCCTGTAATCCTTACACAATCATTCATGTACAGATGAAGAAACTGAGGGATGAAGGGGTTAAGTCATTTGACTAAAATCATACAGCAAGTCAGTAGAGCCAAAATCCCAAGATATCATCCCAGAAAATCCTATTCCAAAAACCATTTGCATCCTTTTCTAGGCCAAGGACTCCCTCACGTGTTTGCATACACTTCTAGGTAATCCCATAGTGGTGTGGTCTCACCCTTTAGGAGAAAAAGCAAGGTCTCTATAGCAATTGTTACGTGCTGTGGAGTCGGTTCCAACTCATAGTGACCCTGCACAGGGTTTCCAAGGCTGTAAATCTTTACTGGAGCACAAAGCCTCATCTTTCTCCTGCAAAACAGCTGGAAGTTTCGAACTGCTGACCTTGCAGTTCACAGCCGGATTCGTAACTACTACGCTACCAGAGTTCGTATATGCATGCGAAAGCTGGACAGTGAATAAGGAAGACCGTAGAAGAATTGATGCTTTTGAGTTATGGTGTTGGAGGAGAATATTGAAAGTGCCATGGGCTGCACCAATAGATCCGTTTGGAAGAAGTGCCGCCAGAGTACTCCTTAGAGGCCAAGATGGCCAAACTTCGTCTCTCATACTTTGGACATATTGTCAGGAGGGAACAGTTGCTGGAGAAGGATATCATGTTTGGTAAGGTGGAGGGTCAGAGAAAAAGAGGAAGACCCCCAGTGAGATGGATTGGCAGTATCAATGGATTCAAGCGTGGCTACAGTGGTGAGGTTGACCCAGGATCAGGCAGTGTTTCGTTCTGCTGTGCGTAAGATCGCTATGGGTCAGTACCAACTCCATGGCACCTACAACAACTATAGCAATTAACCCAGTAGATTTTCCTATTTGTGCTGACTTTAGGAAAGAAAGTAAAGCATAGCTTTTGTGGGGTTGGCATGAGTCACAATGGACTCAGTGGCAATGGGTTTGGTGTGTGTGCAGCTGAGCAGAGGGTAAACTAAAGACAGGGAATCAAGGCTGCAGTCACTTAGCAGGTAGAAAGAAAGCAGACAGCAGAGGACACATTACTTTGAAGGAGGAAAGAAACAGCCAGACGCCCAAAGGTGTTTGTGGTGAGTAGGAGGAACGTTGGCTTGAATGACTAGTCTAATTACTTTGGTGTACTCCCTTCCCTCTCCATGCCCCAACCTGTCTGACGCAGCTCCAGATCATGAGAATGCATTCTACCCAAAGTTAAAACAAAGAATTTTGTGATGCTTTCTTGCTGTTAAATAGCAACTATCTTCTGCTGGGCACCATCCGTCCAAATGAGTGTCCGTGACTTGGGCACACGGCAGCTTCAGGAGGTGTTATTATTGCTTGGCTTTATACCTGGGTATCTACCTGGGCCCTGGTGTGAGAAGACATGGTATCTCTGCCATATTGTTTTCAACTCCATCCAATGGGAGATGGTGACATTCAACTTCTTACAACATTCAGGAGGAGAATACAGTTTCGCTGCCTATCACATTTCTAAGGCTTGCATAGGTGTGTGAGTGAGTGGCATAGGAGAGAAATATTTTAGATCTAACAAGACTTGCGGGAGGGCATGGGGTCAAGCATGTGCACTCATGTGCAGATAATTGTACCATGCTCAGAACTCAAATGTAGAGTCTGCCTCTCAAAAGCAGAGTAACCCCCCAGAAACACACCCACCCATTAAAAAAACAAACAAAAAAAACACCCCCACCAACATGATGTCTATTGAGTCCTGTTACTGGGAGTCATTTCAATTCAGAATGGAAGTGTATTCATTTATTGCACAACACTGCTGATCACGTGGAATGTGCATGAGACTCTGACTCAAAAGGCATCAAGAGTCAAAAGCCTCAACTGACTCATGCTAGGGCCTTGGGCAAGTCACTCTGCCTTAACTTACTGAACAGTGGCACAGGATTATGATTGTAGTCTTGATTTTCTGTTTTGTTTCCCCCCAATATTGTTCTTCCCTAAGTCTCATCCTGCTGGACTCCAACCAGTGAGGGAAGAAGTCAGAAAGGAAGGCAAGACCAAAATTTTTCTTTCCAAAAATTGTGTACTGCTTCAGAGAGGAAAAAGGCAGGGTCCAATTCTGGTGACATCATCCTGCTATGTTCCTGCAAAGCCATTGGAGAGGATTGTCATTTCAAAAAACAAAAACAACAGTACGCATGGATTAGGAACCAATATCCTTCCTCCCCCACTCCAACTCAAGGAGGATATGTTTGTTTCCAGAAGAGGGAGTAAATGTTTCCTTGGCCATCAGGCTAGGGGAGCTGTTTGATCCCCGTTGGAAGAGAGGATGATAGAAGGACCCGTTGTACAGAATAGCAACAGCCCAGGTTCTCACCCTTTAACTCCAGCACCTAGAAGACATGCAGACAATCTACAACTCCAGGGCAGGGTAAACGAGAATAAGGCAGCTTCCATCTAGCTGATTTCATTTTCAAGTGTTTATCCTCCACTTGCTTCCTCATTATTGTCTGCTCAGCAAGATGGATTGATGAAAATTAGGATATCTTTCAAAACCTTCTTAGTTTAAAAGTCTCCAACCGTCTCCTGTCATGGCATTTGGAATCAATCAATCACACCCTTCCTGGACTACAAGGCCATAGCCTTCCTCTCTCACTCACATCCTAATCTCTCCATTAGGTGTGTGCCAATCTTCACCAGCCTTACTTCTCAAACATGGTAGCTTGTTCCCCTCTGAGGACCTTTGTTGGGAATGCTCTTCTTCAGTGTGACTGAAACC